AAGGAAAGAAAAGTGAAGAAAGACGCGATGTTTATAATTATTACAAATTATTCCAGTAATGGTTATTCTTTAATTCAGTATAGTGTGTGTATCGTGCGTCTAACATCTGGAAGAGATACTTCTTCCTCTTCCCTGACAGTTCTCGCTCGCTCGCGGTCGTTGACATTCGCGGAAAGCTCGCGTTCTAAAAAAAAAAAGAGCCGCGGTGCCCCGCGTGCCCTAAAAGTACCGAAGCAGGAAGTGGTTCGTCGACGATCGGAGACACGGTCGATATCCAATCGTTCACCAACGGACATATCACGGCCGGCCTTTTCGATGCTCGATGCATAGTCAGAGCGAAGAAAGCGAGAAGGACGCCGGAGTGAAAAAGAAAGAGAAAGAGAGCGCGCGCGGCGGGAGATAAGGCCTTTGAAGATAGCCGCAAGGTCAACGTGGAACTGACCCCAGCATCCTGCCCGACTGAATTCGAGTTTAATGAATAACTATTGAATCCCGCCTCTATCGTCGCCAATAAGAGCAAAGAGGCGGCCCAGCATCGCTGCTTCGAGGAGGAGGAGGAAATCGCTCTGCCAACTATTTATATATATAAGAAGATATCGAACGCGTCAAGAATCGATTAGATCCGGCGTTTGTGCGCACGAGCAGAGAGAGAAACAGCCTTCGCAATGTGCGAATTTAGAGAAACAGTCCACGATATTAGCAGACGAGAATTTATTTCGAGATGCCTGGCATTATATCATCGCGGTGCGAGAGAATCGTGCGATTGCGCGCGTCGGCTTAATTAGCTGTGGCCAATCGGCGTGTCGCGTATTGAAACCATTTTCACGGCGATTGGAATTAAGAGCGAGCCACCAAAATGCCTGAAATACGTCGGGGATAGGGAGAGAGAGAGAGAGAGAGAGAGAGGAGAGCCCCGTTCCCATGACGTGGAAACGAGGCGTACGTAATCGTGTGTACCGGCAATTCGATGTGGTCGGCTGGCAAGATGGCTAAATTATTTGGGAACGTCCAACACGGTTCGCACGTTTATAATATTCCCATTGCTCTTTTATTAATCATTCGGTATATTAAAAAAAAATCTACTGGCAAAAAAATGAATCTAGTTTTACTATAAAAAGAGTAGGCAAGAAGTATATTTTTTTAACATATACACGGTCTTGTGATGGCGAGAATTATCATGATTGATGACCAATACTCGAATTTATCGCTTCTTTCAGTCGTTTAATCTGTTAATAAAAGTCAGACATTTGATTTCTCTCTTTATTATTTTTTGTATTTCTATGTATTTTTTTAATACTTAAATATTTTTAAAGTTTTGGCTGATTGAAAAAAAAATCTTTTTTATAAAACTACTTTGTGTGAATCAGTGAGCAGCCTCAGTTTTCTCGCTTTATTTAATCCACCGTGTATCTTATGCTAGTAAGCGTTATACCGTTGTTTGTATCTCCGCGTAAAACAGGATCTTCGCGAGAAAGACCCGTAAAGGGAGCTTCGGGTAATTAAGTCGGCCGCGGGAAAAGCCGCCGTCCAGATGTGTCGCGCGCGCCGAAATCGGGCGTATCGAATCCCCCCCTTCCAAAAATCCCCCTCGCATTCCCATATTAACATAGAGAGATACGGTCACCCTCCGGTTTCTCGTCTCGCGTTCTCTCGCAGCCCCGAACGGCGGAGAGTAGACGCGCGCGCAGTTTGCATTAAAAGGTGCGCTCTAATGGAGGCCCCGCACGCGGCGCCACGTGGCATCGGGTTAAGCAAACTATCGATTATGGGATTTCACGCTAAGCACCTATAGGATTACACCGGCGATGGCCGATAAAGCCACTGGATTTGTTGCTCTTTTCGCGATCCCGCTACAACACCGTACGCCACTCTATCTGATCTGTCTCTCCCCCTCCTCTCCTCCCCGCCATCCTCCCTCATTCCCGGTCGCCTACCACCCTCTTTATCATCCTCTCCCCTATCTCGCGAATTCTCCACTTTTCTCTCTATCTTTATCTCTCTGGCGGATGTGTGACTGTACCAAAACCTTATTTTATTCCATCAAAAATAACGGATGTATCGTAAAGAGACACGAGAATATAAATTACAAAATAATTTTGAAATAAAGCAGTACACAAATATTTGTGATCATGTTTCATGTATCCAATGTTAAAGATCAAAGAATAATCACTAATTTATTTGTTCGATCCTTTCAACGAATGTTTTTGCACAACGATGTTTTTATGTAGCAATCGATCAAATCAAATTCATTTTCCAACAATCGATATATTTATTAAATACATTTATTTATTTATTTATTTATTTATTTATAAATATATTTATTAAATACATTTATTAAATTGACAAAAAAACCGCTCTAATTTCTTAACTTTTAAATCCAATGAAACTTTACCCCGAGACAACTACATACTTTTTCATTTTCCTTACACGTTTTTTTATATTCATATTAATAAATCGCTACGTCAATGGTCCGTCCGGAAAAAATCCGGACAGTGAAAAATCGGTGGTATTTTTTTTTTTTTCGGCGAGAGGGAAAAAACGGGGGTTTTTTTTTTTTTTTTTCGGCGAGAAGAAGAGGAGGGCTCTTCTCGGAAAATTACAGAGACTAGGATGATATCGATTAACGGCGGCGAAGCAAACTAGGCCGCGGCTTTCTGGTCTAAGAGGAAACATAAATCACTCGCGTGTAGAGAAGTAGAGTCGTGAATTCGCCGTTCCGATTTAAAATTCCACCGCGATCTATTTCCGTCCTATCAATCGGCACACTTGTATCTCGCACTAGGAAGCGACGGCCGGCTATCTCGGCGGCCAATTAACGTTATTCGTTTGCTCGCGCGCGGTCATTATCGCCCGGCATAATTAATATCCCTCGGCGAGGGGGAGCGGCCGAGAAGAAAGAAGGAAGGGGCATAGGAGGAGGATGCAAGGGAAGAGATATCGGAGGCGAGCAACTGGCTCTCTCTTGACCGTGACAGACTTTAAGACGCCGCTATCAAAGGAAGTGAGGTCGACCTCGAGTAATCATTAATCGGTCGTCCAAGCGTGGGATAAGCGCTTTCTCTACGATCGTTATTCGGAAATAACTCGACGAGAGGATCGCTTTCCGGGGATCCGTCGTCTCGGAGAGCCGATAAATTCGCGAGGCCGCAGCGCCCGGAGCGGAAGCTTTTTAATCGCGTCGCATGAAACCGGAGCCCCGGTTGTGTGAGATACCGTACTCCTGGGATAACCAATCCCGCGCCAGAGCGTGTCATTTTAAATCACTGCCGACAAACGTGCCGAACGAGAGAGAGAGAGAAAGAGAGAGATGTAGCCCTGCCCAGATCGATCCTGAGACGACGTAATCACTTCGCGATCAACGCTTACTTTATTTAGGGTCAGATTTTCGAGCGACTTGTCCATCTAATCAACGATTTAAATTTAAAAAAATATCGATAATCCCGCTGATGCATCACGTGCATTATCAGAAGTATCTCTATCTCTTTCGAGCGAAAATTTTTAAAAGAACACGAAATGCACATCCTCGAAGGATAATCACTAGGAGCGCGCGAAATTTCCGAAGGCGTGCTCGTCGATCAAACGGGCATTTCTTCGACCTCGCACGTGACTTCGTCAACGTTTTGACAACGTTTAGCGAACCGGCTTTCCTCTCCCTTTTAAAGGGATGATGGATGCCCGGCACGCGGCTCGCTTCAACACCCCGACGAGAGGCTCGATGGATATTTAGGACAATTCGCGCGTGCGTCCTCGTACCAAACAATTCATATATCACCTGGGCGACGTCGCGAAATAATAGGGAAATGAATTCGCGCGAAGGATGAAAATCGGCGCGCCTAATCGACGCTCGGTGTTAAGTGAACGCGGCGTTATCAGTGCAAGTATCGCAGAATCATTTTCACCGGCTGATCTTTTCGAGGAGATCGTATTAGATAATTAATATAATTAAACATTTATATGTACATTTATATGATGTACATTTGAGAAAAACATTTAAATTTAATATCGTGCATTACGTAATAATATTGTTATAAGTATAGAAATGTAATTTGAAAATTGTTTTTTATATATAAAAGAGGAAAAACGTATAAAGTAGAAACTCAAAAATAAAGTTAATAAAATTTTGAATTGTTTGTTATCAGTTGCAATGAGTTGTCGTAAAAACAGAACGCGAAATTATTAATGAATAAAAATTTTGTAGAATAGATTATAAAATGTAACATTTTATTTATACGAAAACCAAAGTCATAACGATTATTGGCCTAATTTTCGATTGTATGAATGTCGAAGAGACCGGCGGAGCGCAAACCCCCGATGTGATCCCGCTGCCATAAAAGTCACGTTTATTTCAGGGCGATAATGCTTGTAATCCAAATATAATTTTTGTCAGAGGGGCGCAATAACGGTTGAAACTCACCCTGTTTCACAAACGCGTCTCGCTGGTCCCTATGTGTTAGCGGTCTCGTCCCGAAATCATAGGAAAGCCACCCCTTGTTACGACCGTGCTTTACATCCCCCGAAAACTTAATACGAACTCGAAGGCACCCCGTACGTACTTAGGGGCGGTCTATCGCGGTTACCCCAAACTTTGTCCTGCGTGGAACTTATTGCCCCATCGACTCTATATTTTCGAGAATTATATGGCCAAACTTGCGCTTTATATTTTTTTCTATAGTCCAGAATCTTAAAGAGTGCCCACGGTGTTTGTATTTCTGACACAGAACGCGAGGACAATTGTCAAAACTTTTTAAATATATGGAAATGTGAATATTTAAGTTTATACATAAATATTTTGGAATATTCAAAGCATTTCTCGGTTTTGACAACTCATTTTTGTTTTGCAAGAATTTTAATTACTTTTATGCTTGGCATGTATTTTTTATTTTTATTCAAAAAAAATTATTTATTTAATTATTTTAATCACATTGAATTATTTTTCTAATGTTTTTCCTCTTATCTGGCCGATTAAGTAATATTGATATTAATTGAGATTTCTGACTCACCGGTACGATTGCGCAGCAGCGGATTGTAGTATACATCGTGGATCTGTAACATAAATATGTATCTAAATTATAAAATCAGTGTTTCAAAGATTAATATTTCAGAAAGTAACTAATATGCGTAAACTGAATTTATATGTTTTCTAAACAAATATTTAATTAAAAAATTACGTATAATTTTTTTCAAACTTTTATGAAATATGATAAATAAAAATTTAATTCTAATATAAAAACTTAAAATATTATATATTTTATGAATAATATACATTATAAAATATTAAATCAATTAAGTTATTATTAAATTAATTAAATAATAAATAAATTATTTACCTCACAGTTGCTCCGCCAATGACCGATGCCTCCCTGGGCCTCCTCCTCCTCTCGTGTTCATCCATTGTTCTTTCTCCATGGCTCTCGCGAAAATGCGATACTCGCAAAAATACTGTTAATTACGATTAATTACTCACGCACTTGATCGATCAATCGCGCGATACTTTGCGGCACTCCCGAAGTTAATTATACGCGAGACGCGCACCTTATTATATTTCAATGAGCAATTATTCACTCGACATTCGAAGATTGTGCGATGTCACTCGCTGCGAGTATTATTTCTGCTGTTGAATAATATAGGCTCAAGTTTTAGAGCAATTTTACTATGGCATTATAATATAAGCGAATAAATATAAGAGTGTCAAAATTAAAAACAAATATCTGCAGAATGCAATATTCTAAAATAAATTGCCTCGCACAAGACATTTCGATCAAATATAACATATAAAATATGTTTCAACATATTACCAATAATGTTTAATATCAAAATTTTACGGAGACAATTGTTAAAGTATGTAACCAACTACTTTATTTATAAATAAAAGGTGTTACAAAGCTGTTGGACTCGAAGTCGATTCGTTTTATACGCACAATTAAATTTCTTTATATAATGATTGAAAAATTTCAAAATAATAATTTCATTTTAATATCGCGCGATATTACATGAATTAGATTAATAATTAGTTAAAATGTATCGTGTCCGAAAATATATAATCGATATTCATTATACGCGTGATGCATTTCCAACACATAAATCACGAAATAAATATATGTATTATTATTGAATAGAAAAATTCCAAAATAATAATTTTTATAATGTTTTTCCTTTAAATTATTTATCGACGATTTATATATATTTTTTAATATATGTCCATTTCCAATCTAGGTAGATAACTCTCCTTACTCTTCCTTGATGTGTAAAACATATGAGAGATGAAAATTGTCTGTGAAGTAATGGTCGGAATAACAAACGCGAAGGACTATCAAAGTGCAAGCAGGTGGTTATAAATTACAAGTTGTACTCACAATGAGATGCGAATGTGAAGACATGTTACATATGTGATATTTAAAGAAAGCGAGCGTGTCTAGACAGCGTCCCGAGAAACAATGACCTAATCGCGCGATCATAACAGAGGCAAAAACGTAAAACCAGACAAAAGCCAATGTGTCAGGTATGTGTGTATATTAACAGGAACAACACATACAAATAAGATGTAACATTGAATAAATTAAGATAAACCGCGTCAAAATTTCTAAATTTCTATAAAATATAATAAATAAAATAAAAATTCTAATAATCTAAATAATTATAAGATTTAAACAAGACACATATATATGTATATATGTATAAATTATTGTAATTATTTTATTAAATATTTCAAATATTTCACACAATAAAATAAAATTTTAAGAACGTGTTATCTTATTCAATGATGTAATAAAAATCATTATTACGGAGATAAATGGGCTATTAAAAATTATGTTATATATTATGCTCACCTTACAGTTGCTCCGCTGTTACTTGATGCCACCCCGGGCCTGCTCCTCCTCTCGTGTTTATCTTGACATTCCGATATACACTGTCAGTCACAGAAAATCTATAATGTACGTAGAATATACGTAAACTACAGCCTTCCACTAATAACTATGTATATCGGAACATATTTGCTGCTCTCTGTCTCTCTCTCTCTCTCTCTCTCTCATGGCATTGGCACTCGCACATTCGGAGACACGCTCGATTACGATCGCGTGCGCATTAATCGATAGAACACGGCTATCACTCGACACTTTTCACGACACCGGCTCCCGAAATCGCGCATTTAATCACGTCGCGACCGGAATTTACCCCGAAAACTACGTCGTACGATGATCTTTGTGCTTCTCGTCCGCACGGATTCCTCCCTCGACGTAGAAAGCGCGCGAAATGAATCGTTAATAATCTCAATTCACTTCACGCTAAACAACCGTTGCTAGGATACGGGCTGCATATTGGCGGGAATTACTTCGTCGCGCGGGCCGACGATAATCCAACCTAACTCGACCTTAACTCGCTTCGCAATAAACGATCGGTGGCAGATTACTCGTAATGATTACGAAAAATATATAATAGGCGACTCCCGGTATCTACGGACGATCACGTTTCGATATTAATACGATCATATATAGAACACTCGTGCCACTGATGTGAGTCCTCTCGCACTTCTTCGTCTTCGTCCTTCAATAACAACGAACAAGTACGGCACGTACCACGTACATACACTCCGCCATATCCCGTCGCGCGAATGACAACAAAGCGACCTCACGTGAGCGACAAGCGCACTACATCGTCGTAAAAAGAATTAGCGCCAAATAATCCGGGATAGCCGAAAGGGGTCAAGGACGTTGCCACTCACGAGAAATATTTAACGCTCTACAAGATAAAGGTATTTTCTGAATTTCATATCAATTTTTATATAATAAACGATCGATGTATTTCTTTCGCTTTACTTTAATCGCTCGATCTCTTGCGATTCGTGTAATATTATTATGCTTTCTCAAACCGAAAAATGATCGACGAATTGTAGGTTATAACTGCGGTAATTTCGGGAGAATTTAGGCGAAAGAGATTTAGAGCGCGGTATGAAATATATACGAAAGAAACATTAAAGAAATAATATTCACCATAAAAATGTCGGATTAAAATAATAATTTATAATTATCATTTATTATTCTTTCGCGATTTATATTTCGAATAAATAACTCGCGAGAAATTAGTCGTCGATCTAAAAGAATCGCGTGAAGAGAATTATTCGTATAGATATGGAGAATAATCGCGTAGTGTGTCTCTTGTTAATAATTTAATATTGTATAATTCAGTTCGAATGTCGACCGCCGAGTGCCGAGTCTCGCTATGGAATGTCAAGGACCGGGCGGCCGAGCTGTGGAATGTAAACAATAGCGTGCTCGGTATGTTTACGTATGTATACATATCGAGACGCGCACGCAGGTAGTGTATTATTATCCTCCAAGACAAAAACATGAAATGTTATAAAAATGTTTATTTTGGAATTTTTCCGTTGTTCGCTAATAATATATTTATTTCGTGATTTGTAGGTATGTTGGAAATATATCAGGAGTTCGTTGCCGTCCGCGGATAGGAACAGACGTGTTTTGATACGTTATATGTGTGGGCATTTTAAAAAGAAAGAAAGAAAGGAAATACATCGTGCGTATAATAAATATCGATTATATACTTTCGAACACGATACATCTTAACTACGTTATTAACCTAATTTATGTAATGTCGCGCGATATCAAAGCGAAATTATTATTTTGAAATTTTTCGGTCATTAAAGAAATTTAATTGTGCGTATAAAATGAATCGACTTTGAGTGGAACATCTTTGTAACGCTTTTAATTTATATATACAGTGGTAATTAATTACATACTTTAACAATTGTCTCCGTAAAATTTCGATATTAAACGTCATTGATAATATGTTGAAACGTGTTTCATATGCTATATTTGATCGAAATGCGAAGCAACGTATTTTAGGATATTTCATTCTGCAGCTATTTGTCTTTAATTTTGACACTCGTATATTTATTCACTTATATTTTAACGCCATAGTAAACTTGCTCTAAAATTCGAGCCTATATTATTCAACAGCAGAAATAATACTCGCAGAGAGTGACATCGCACAATCTTCGAATGTCGAGTGAATAATTGCTCATTGAAATATAATAAGGTGCGCGTCTCGCGTATAATTAACTTCGGGAGTGCCGCAAAGTATCGCGCGATTGATCGATCAAGTGCGTGAGTAATTAATCGCAATTAACAGTATTTTTGCGAGTATCGCATTTTTGCGAGAGCCATGGAGAAAGAACAATGGATGAACACGAGAGGAGGAGGAGACCCAAGGAGGCATCGGATATCGGCGGAGCAACCATGGGGTAAATATTTTATTTATTATTTAATTAATTTAATAACAATTTAATTAATTTAGTATTATAATGTATTATACATAAAA